CACCACTGTAAACTCGTTGCAATAAAAACTTGCGAAGTTTTGCCGTGTGATGCCGGCTTAGAATAGCATCACCCCAATTCTACCTGTGGGTGTCGTAAAAAGCGAATAAGGGATAATTATTAAGGAAATGGGCAGCTGCGTTCCCTGTGAATCTTTAACATCTTGCACTGCGCTCGCCAATCCGGTCGCCAAGCGTGGTGAGTATGGCAATCCCCCCAATACGGGGGAGGCCTATGTCCAGCAGTGGACTGTTGTGGCTGTAAAGGTAAGTTTAGGGTTGTAAATCATAAGTAGTTTATTGCGTTTAGTTTTTCGTGGCCTGTTCTACTTCGTTTATTTAATCGTCTCCCTTTGAAACATTCACTTTTCCTGCGACTACACTTAGAAAAAAATGCAATAAATAAAACAACATATAACGTATGGTAATATTGGAGCAGTTTAATCTTCATACCAAATCGCAATGCGCCCTGTTTACAGGTACTTTATGCTAATATTATACGGAAACAGAAAGTAATCTTGGAGGCACCCATTTTGGAATATTTCTAATGCATGAGATTACAGATATTATTTATGGACAGATTCCATTTTTACTTCGTAATATTTTTCGGGATGTTTGGAGGATTTTAATTTCTTCTTTTCTCTGCTTCCAAGTGCCTGTATTGTTTTGTATAGCAAATAATAAGTAAGTACCTACCTTCAATCAGTTTGCGTAGTACATACCTAATCTGAAAAACACACACACACAATTTTCTATGTGTTGGTAGCTTTGAATAGTATCATTCTATTTCAACTCCCCAAATTGGGAGGACAGAGTCTCAGCACGAGCTAGAGAATTTTGTAGCTGTTAATAGATGTCACACACAATTCGGGTACCATCATAACAGTCAACAAAAAGTTAGATAAATACACAATATATAAGGTCCTATTAAATTCACTGCAAATATTTTAAGGGCATGCGTAAATATGTATAAGAAAAACATCAAAGGCATTTTAAAAAAGATCTACACGCTAGATGTTTTTTTTTTCATTTTCAAACAAACTTTTTAATTAATTATGTGAACATCCTTTGACTGACCCGACTGACGTTCCGCCACGTAGACAGGATTTCACACGGCACGCACACTAACAACCAACCAATCACAGACCTTTTTTTTGGCGCGTAATTTAAATTCATCGAAATGTGTGTTCCTAGGACAAACAGGGTGCACTTTTTTCGTTTTTTTTTTAGTTAAACGCAATTTTCTCGAAAACTAGCGTATAGATTTCTTTAAAAATTTGCCTAGTACATGCTTATATTTTATTTGATCTGCTCCTAAAATATTTGCAGTGAATTTAATAGGACCTTATACTTCGTCTTAATCAGGGATAATAAATCGCTCATACTATCCGAAAAATGAGCAACATCGTTACCTAATGGCGACCGTATGCTTCATTTCACAGCGTACAGATGCCTCACTTCATACTATCACTCCGCGTCAAAGAAAAACCCTCTTGACAACGAAAATGCACCGAAAAACCGGAGACAAAAGCCAGAGCCACAGAACTTGCTCTATTAACTAAATGTCCACGGACGGTTCCACTGGGTCACACACAGCACAGTCACAATGTGGAAATCCGCCGGGGTAAAGTAAAAATTTAGGAAAAACCCGACTTCCCAATGAAGAAACCTGTGAAACAAACACGAAGACTTCTGAATCACAAAATAGAGTCGCGCGCCGTTTCCCTAATCCCTAATTTGTGTCTGAATTTTCATTTTCATGTTGTGTTGTTAAATCAATGCGGAATACAAAAATAATTTCTTGGCCTTTGCAGGTTTTGAAATCACTTTGACATTCAAATTTTGCACACTTTCAGTAGGAACGAACATGATAACGTAGGTTTGTATCACAAATAATTTAGAATTTGTTTTATTGCAATAGAAGCATACAATTAGAGGCGGCTTTTGGACTTACTTAAAAACGCCTCTTTCTGAGAATGTTACATTTCTCTCTCTCATCTCATCTCATCTAGCCGACGTCATCCCACTGCTGAGCAAAGGCCTCCCATCCCACTTCTCCTCCCAGCATTTATAACCGTCAAATCCAGAACCTCCTTTTTGAAATCGGTTGATAAAAGCCAGGACGGCCAAAAAACGTCATAGACTACACACGGACGGATGGTCCATTTTCCTTATGGTTTTAATTAAGCCGCTACCACTAACCTGCCGCCATTTTTGCAGTCCCGCACCGCTCGTGCAGATTGATTAAAAGTCTATGGGCCATGCTTTATAGCCAGTGTCCATTGTATGCCCAGTTCGTAAGGCGATTTATGTCGTTTTGCTGCTTACCAGTGAGCAGTAGTTTTTACATGAGATAGGGTCTAGATTTTGGATTCAAATCTTTTAGATCGGTTACTTATCGAGTATGATCGACTTAGTAGAAAGATTAGCGTCAAATCTTAGCTGCGCACATCGAGCAAGAATGCTGAAAATCGCCAAAAAGGTGCTTCCAGATCTACTGATCAAAAGTGGGCCGCGCCAAGCAGTGAAAAGTAAAGGAAAAAAGAAAACAGTAAAGAAAAAGATAATGCACCCTTCCCACTTTTCAACTTCAATATGGTATAAATATCCAGGTGTGGTTGGTTTGTGAAATGATGTTCAATCTCGTGTTGTGTATCACAATGGGCACATTCCATAGGCGTCTAGCGCTCAAGCAGCATCAAATTTATGGTTTAGGTGGGCTCAAGGCCCGATTGTTACCGCAAGCTGTTCAGATATCTGATAGTTTCCGCATCGTATATGACAATGGGCTCGTGCCATAGGCGTGTAGCGCTCAAGCAGCTTCTAATTTATGGTTGAGGTGGGCTCCCGGTCCGATAGTTACCGCAAGTTCAGATATCGGGTAGTTCCCGTGTCGTGAATGACAATGGGCACATTCCATAGGCGTGTAGCGCTCAAGCAGCTTCTAATTTATGGTTGAGGTCGGCTCCCGGTCCGATAGTTTCCGCAAGCAAATGGTTCAGATATCGGATAGTTCCCGTGTCGTGTTACACAATGGACACATGCCATAGGCGTGTAGCGCTCAAGCAGCTTCTAATTTATGGTTGAGGTGGGCTCCCGGTCCGATAGTTACCGCAAGCTAATCCTACCCGACACGGGCCTTTCGCCTATTGCCACGGAAACTGGGTTTTGCACACATAACCCTACTTTGCTCCACATTCACACCAAATATCTGTAACTATAGGTATCTAAATCGGATTTATTTATTTATTTATTTATTTTTATACTTTATTGCACATAGTACAAAAGGCGGGCCTAATGCCACGATGTATTATCGGATGTAAGGAACGATGTATCGAAAATTTTGCAAGCATGATGCACTATGATAACCATGATGAAACTCTCTCTCTTCTTTCTCACCGATTCGTTCAACGACCCGATGAACCCTGGTGACAGAGTTTTTCAACCGCCTACTGCAAGAAGCAGGCCTCTGACATGGTTGTGTAACGACCTCCATCATAGACAGCAACCGGGACCGATAGCTTTACGTGCCCGAAGCACGGAACCATCTTGCTTTTCGGACAGTCAGATGGTTTAGCCTGCAATATCCCAACCAAATTGGGAACAAATTCACACAGTGATAAATATTAACTTTGTCAGTAACCCCACCGGGACTTGAACCCGGGACCTTCTGCGTGGCAGGCAGTCATACTAACCACTGCGCCACATCGGCTGTCTACGATGTATAGAATGAAACTGAAATACTTTTACTATAGAGCCTTTGATCAGGAACTTCGTTTAAAATAGAACTTGGCTTCATAACTAGGTATCATAAATGGTATCCCTTTCACAGGCATCATTTTTTTTCGACTAATATGTTTTAGCATAACATGTTCCGCATAATTTTTTTTCACCTACCATTGCTTTGACATAATAATTTCTTGCCATAATATTAATCTTGGCATAATCATATTTTAGACTATTGTATTTTATACTAACAATATTTTGACATAATTACTTTTGCAATATTTTTTTTCGGACTAATCTATATATATGTTACCGGCCAAACCCGATTTTAGGATAAACTAGTTTTTCCTAGGCCAAAGTAGTTTATCCTACATGCCATTGGATAAACCGGTATAGACTAGGCTAAAACGGTCCGTCCGATGGCCGATAGGAGAAACTAGTTAATCCTAGGCTAAACTAGTTGAGCCTAAAATTAATAAGTAAACTTTAGGATAAACTGGTTTGGCTTAGTTAAAAACGGTTAAGGCTACAGTGACTTCGCTCTAGAGGGTAAAGGGTAACGTTGGATATCCTGGAGACATCGGAAACTCTGGAGACTCGAATACCCTAGAGGGTGGGGTGTAGCATTGGACACCCTGAAGGCTCGGACGCCCTGGAGGGGCGCCCTACAGTGAGGCACTTCGTACACTCTAGAGGCATCAAACACCTGTAAGACTCGAACACTCTGGAGGGTGCGGGGTAGCGTCGGACACCATAAAAGCTTGGACGCTGCCTGACGTGGGCTGGGCTGCCACATACCAGGGACACCTGTGATGTGACAGCTCGTGAGAAATATCGCCAATAGCGACCTTGTAAGTGCTCGCGTCAGGGGCTACAAGGTGTCTGAGGGGGTCTGACGCTACCCCGCACCCTCCAGGGTAATCGAGCCTCACAGGTGTTTGATGCCTCCAAGGTGAAAATAAGAAATAGAAAATATGACATGCATCGACCGGGGATCGAACCCGGGCCGCATGGGTAAACGCCCCACCGCTCTGCCACTGAACTATCGATGCACGGCCGATGAACGCCAAACTTTCTATCTCTTGATGCTCGTCTCCAAGCGACGATCCAGCGACATCTGTAGAAAGTATTTAGAACTTACTACATGGTTAGTCCACATTATGAGTGGAATTCAAACCATATGATGAAGCTTGCTTTATCAATCTATTGGGATTGTAATGCACTCACAGTGCTATATTATTCTCACAAGTGAAAATAAGAAATAGAAAATATGACATGCATCGACCGGGGATCGAACTCGGGCCGCATGGGTAAACGCCCCACCGCTCTGCCACTGAGCTATCGATGCACGGCCGATGAACGCCAAACTTTCTATCTCTTGATGCTCGTCTCCAAGCGACGATCCAGCGACATCTGTGGAAAGTATTTAGAACTTACTACATGGTTAGTCCACATTATGAGTGGAATTCAAACCATATGATGAAGCTTGCTTAATCAATCTATTGGGATTGTAATGCACTCACAGTGCTATATTATTCTCACAGTGAAAATAAGAAATAGAAAATATGACATGCATCGACGGGGATCGAACCGGGCCGCATGGAGTAAACGCCCACCGCTCTGCCACTGAGCTATCGATGCACGGCCGATGAACGCCAAACTTTCTATCTCTTGATGGTCCTCTCCAAGCGACGATCCAGCGACATCTGTAGAAAGTATTTAGAACTTACTACATGGTTAGTCCACATTATGAGTGGAATTCAAACCATATGATGAAGCTTGCTTAAACAATCTATTGGGATTGTAATGCACTCACAGTGCTATATTATTCTCACAAGTGAAAATAAGAAATAGAAAATATGATCATCGACCGGGATCGAACCCGGGCCGCATGGTAAACGTTCACCGCTTGCCACTGCTATCGATGCCGATGAACGCCAAACTTTCTATCTCTTGATGCTCGTCTCCAAGCGACGATCCAGCGACATCCGTAGAAAGTATTTAGAACTTACTACATGGTTAGTCCACATAATGAGTGGAATTCAAACCATATGATGAAGCTTGAAGTAAGTTCTAAATACTTTCTACAGATGTCGCTGGATCGTCGCTTGGAGACGAGCATCAAGAGATAGAAAGTTTGGCGTTCATCGGCCGTGCATCGATAGCTCAGTGGCAGAGCGGTGGGGCGTTTACCCATGCGGCCCGGTTCGATCCCCGGTCGATGCATGTCATATTTTCTATTTCTTATTTTCACTTGTGAGAATAATATAGCACTGTGAGTGCATTACAATCCCAATAGATTGATTAAGCAAGCTTCATCATATGGTTTGAATTCCACTCATAATGTGGACTAACCATGTAGTAAGTTCTAAATACTTTCTACAGATGTCGCTGGATCGTCGCTTGGAGACGAGCATCAAGAGATAGAAAGTTTGGCGTTCATCGGCCGTGCATCGATAGCTCAGTGGCAGAGCGGTGGGGCGTTTACCCATGCGGCCCGGGTTCGATCCCCGGTCGATGCATGTCATATTTTCTATTTCTTATTGCCTCCAAGGTGTACGATTATACCCGTTACGCTCGATCTAGAGCTACAACACTGTAGGGCGTCCCTTCAGGGCGTCCGAGCCTTCAGGATGTCCGATGCTACACCCCACCCTCTAGGGTGTTCGAGCTTCCAGAGTGTCCCATGTCTCCAGGTTTTCCGACGTTAGCCTCTACCCTCTAGAGCTCCGTCACTGTAGCCTGAATAATTTTTAACTAAGCCAAACCAGTTTATCCTGAAGCGTATTTATTCACTTAAGGTTCAACTAGTTCAGCCTAGGATTAACTAGTTTCTCCTGTCGGCCATCGGAAGGACCGGTTTAGCCTAGTCTATACCGGTTTATCCAATCGCATGTAGGATAAACTACTTTGGCCTAGGAAAATCTAGTTTATCCTAAAATCGGGTTTGGCCGGTAACATATATATTTTATCAAGTTCAAATGGCAGGAAATGTAAGTCAGTTTAGTATTTTTTAAGATATATTAGGTTAAATTAGGTCAGTTTAGGTTAGGTTAGGTTATTTTTATACAATTTAGGGGTTCTTCTAATGCAGTGTTTTTCAAACTTTTTGATTACGCAACCCCTTTCCAGGAAAAAATTTACTGGCGACCCCCCTGTTGGGTTATACTTATCTGGGTAGGCTAAAGTTTTCAGGTAAAAACAAGCCTCAGGTACCGGGACGTATCGCGAGCGAAGCGAGCTCGACTTTTTACGCTACAAACGAGCGTGGAAGCTTAAACACTGGCCGCTATTAAAAACAAACTGAATAATACATGTATAACGAGCAAAACGAGCTCGACATTTCGCGTTACAAACAAGCAAGGAGCCTCAACACTATCCGTGAATGTCAAACAGGTAGAAAGGCGTACGTATAGCGAGCGAAGCGAGCCCGACTTTTTACGCTACAAATAATCGTGGCAGCTTAATGCACTGGGCGCTTTGTGAAAAACAGACTGAAAAATAAACGTATAGTAAGCGAAGCGAGCTCGACTTTTTGCGTTACAAACAAGCGAGGATACTCAACTAGCCGTGAATGTAAAACATGTAGAAAGGGGTACGTATTGCGAGCGAAGCGAGCCCGACTTTTCACGCTACAAACAAGCAAAGAGAGAGTAAGTACTACACTGCATACTGCATGTAATATGTTTGAAGAATAAACAAGCTCATTCTTTGTCACTAAAATTGTGTTTTACTGAATTGTAGCCGATCAACCACCTGTAGACTGTAGATCTAACTTGACTTATGTATTTTGCCCGCGACCCCCCTAGAAAGGCTCCGCGACCCCCCTGGGGGTCGCGACCCACAGTTTGAAAAACACTGTTCTAATGCATCAGATTTTTATGCCTATTTTGATTATGGATATGACAATTTATGGTTTTGTATATAAGGCCTATGTACTATTATGGCAATATTTTTTGTGCGTAAAGAAATTATGCCTAAACTGTTATGCGTACATGAATTATGCGTAAATATCATTAGTTTAAATTACAGTGTGACAAAATATATTATGTCAATTCTTTTTATGCAAATGGATAGAGAACCATTATAAATAGCCTTTAACTGTTTTTTAGTTTCATGGTCTGAACACGTCTGCAAAGGTTTCGGTTTATTGTCCCTTACACTTACACCTCATATAAGTATAGGTAATTTTAACTAAGCAGAAGTCAAAAGCTAATTACCTAAATTATGTAGGTATTGCTATTTGCTTAAAATACAATAAAAATCTTCGGAGATAAGTATCCAGTTCTTTCCAATTATGCCGGTGTTGTGTCTGAAAACCACCATTTGATAATCGTGTGTGGCGTCAGTCATGCGCGAATTTTCATTCATATTTAGGTATACCTACCAAAAAACTGACAGGCCCGACATTATCGGACAATCAGAAAATACGACACGCTCAGTGCTTCAGAAGAGCAATGTCAGTGATGATGACAGTTGTCACATCAGTGTTAGTTAACTAGGTCAAGTTAAGTATGGTCATACACAATTTAGGTGTCCTAAATCTGTGTCCTAAATCAGGCGCTTCACACATAGAAGGGAAAAGAAGTATTATGTTATGTACTTATCTACATACGAACTGCAAAGAAATGCATTGAAAATGTAAACCACATACCTACATATTTTTTGCGAAGGTACAAAATGATTATGGCAAGCAAATTACTTTTACGTAGGTAATTTAAGATTCAATTCAGATTAAAATTACTGTGATTATGATAACATAAAAAACAGAAGTCACTGTTCCGTACAAAAATCAAAGAAATATTCTTTGTGATGAATAAGTCGGGGTGTAAGTGACGGTGTAACGAAAACTTTGCAGGCGTGCTCAGTCAGATCATGAAACTGAACAATGAACATGAACTTTCCCCATAAAACATATGGTGGTGGTGGAGGTCGAACACATTGGCCGCATAGTAAAAGTTGTTCAGTTTCATGGTCTGATTATGCCTGCAAAGTTTTCGGTGCACCGTCCCTTACACCCATAGTATAGCTACTTGCAGTATGTACTATAAGAAGCTACATTTCCTACGCTCCGGTTTTTTATGAAAGTGGCAGGATAGGACGAGTAAAACCGTCACACAAACCTGCAAGTAGATTAGATTTCTTATTTTATTTTTCCCTTTCAATAACGATGACTAACATCACTTACTTATTATAACCTGGTTCACCCCTTGAAAAAATGCGAGCAAATTTTTAGGGTTTCGTAGTCTACTAGAAACCCTTATAGTTTCGTCAAGTCTGTCTGTCTGTATGCCGCGCCCTCATATCTTCGTCAGTTTTAGAGCTATCAACATGAAATTTGGTGAGAAGATAGAACGTGTTGACCCACATATAGAAATGTTAAGAAAAAATTATATTAAGTGTTTTTTGGACCCCCTCCCAAACAAGTGAAAGGGGGGCAAAAAATTTTTTTTTTCATCTGCAATATTGAATAGGGTATCTTTGAATAGTTCTTTTAAAACTAAGGTGAGGTTTCTTTGAAACAAAGTCACTAAAATGTTTCTGTTACGAGATACTTGCTTTTAAAAAGGGCGTTTTTGACACATAATTTGTTCCAGCTGTAACTTCTAAAGTATAAATTGAAATAAATATGGAATATAGCTTACAATCTGAAGTTACAATGAAAACTATAACGGATGTTGTATCCTTAAAGGTTTCAGAAAAAAAATAGTTTTTCTATTTGCGGTTGGTCATCATACTGCTGTTAACAAACCAGCAACAAAATTAAGTTTGTAATGCTGAAAAACCTGATATTTAAACGTTGACTACGAAACCCTATTTGTGGGCGTGTCTGACACGCTCTTGGCCGGTTTTTTTAACTTATCAAGGTTTAGGATTATACCTAACATTCCGTGGTTTAGGATAAATAAGATGCGTAACTCTAAAAATGAAAAAATATGAAAACTGTATTTGAATGATAAATATTTTTGATTGAGTTCATTTCCGTGCGTGTGTGTCCATGGGTGTATGGATGTGAGACCGCCAATGTTAACATCATTGATAAAATAAATAAACATTACACCTTATGTGAAATGGAAGCGAAGTATATCTGTTTTATTATGATTTTTATTGTAACAGAACAATTTACTACTAGAGCAGCTACTGTTGAAAAGGTCAGTACGTACATTACATTACTATTAGTAGTACTAGATACTACGGCCACACATTACAATATTAGAGTAATTTATGTAATGTTTACATCAAATTACAAGTTAAGTACCTATATGATTATCTAATTTTGTCCCTAGTTAGTTATATTTCCACATTTTTGTAACATTATTGTACCTACTGTCCGCGCGCAATATGGCA